CACCCACAATGGCCCTTCGCAACTCAACTGAAACTCCAATTCCAGGGGCGTCCCACACCTCCTTCTGAGCTCAACGGTACCAGGCACATACATGGGAACATAGACATATATGCAAGTACCCATACACATAAAAAATTTTTTAAGAAAAAAAAAAAAAAGAGGGGCTAGAGAGTTGGCTCAGTGGTTAAGAGCACTGGCTGCAGTTGCAGTTCCAAAGGACCTGGGTACTGTTCCCAGCACCCACATGGCTCACAACTGTCTATAACTCCACATCCAGGGAATACCCTTACAGACATGCATGCAGGCAAAGCACCAATCACATGAAATAAAAATAAATATTAATAATAACTATAAAAAGATCCTCCTACCCAGGTGAATAGTTCATAGGCTGTAGTAAATGAATGTACAGGAGATACTCAAATTTTGAATCTAGATCATTGACAGAATGATGTTCCTACATATAAAAAAGTAAAATCAGGAAAGGAATCTGCCTTGGGAACATTAGGAATGATTTTCACCCACTATATTTCAGGTTCTAACACAGTGTCCAAGTAAAGGTGCACATGTAAAAGGATTGGAGATGTAGGGACTTCAGAACTGAACCTGCGTGAATGAGCAGTGAATGCAGGATCAGAACAGGCTGGTAGGGAGCATAACAGTATCAGAAAACACCGTCTCCCCACCTTTCTGAAAGAAAGGCTCGTTACCCTCTGGTTCCTTTGTTGTGTTTAATAGTTTGTGGTTTGCAGATGTGGAAAGTAAAAACCACAGACTGATAAGGTTCTTTTCCACAGGATGAAGATGAAGAGGTCTACAAGAGGGATTTTAGTGCACCTACTCTTGAGGACCATTTCAACAAAACCATTCTTCCAAAAGTCATGCAGGTATGGGGATTCTCAGTAAACAAAGCAGACTGGGGGCTGAGCATGGGGGTTTGTTTGCTGTCATAATTGTCCACCCTTCTTTCAGGTCAAGAATTTTGGACGGTCTGGTCGTACCAAGTACACCCACCTTGTGGATCAAGATACCACTTCCTTTGACTCTGCATGGGGCCAAGAGAGTGCCCAGAACACAAAGTTCTTTAAACAGAAGGCAGCTGGGGTACGTGATGTATTTGAGCGCCCATCTGCCAAGAAGAGGAAAACCACCTAAGCTTCAACTGCTTATTCCAGCTGTGGGACAGGGGATCTGGTCCTCGGTTTTCTTTAACCATTACTCACATAGTTCTTGTACAGAGCCTTCTGGACTTCCTGCCGTGACTTGTGTCTGAAGGTGCTTTGTGAGGGGTTTGGACTCAAACAGAGAAACCCACAGAAAAGCACCAACCAGGGAGAATTGGAGGCTTCCCACTTAAAACTGTTTCTACCATGGCTTCCCATATGACTTGGGACTGTTCTGAGTTTATTTTTCCAGCACCTTAGCCTGGATCAGATATGTGGGCCTATGAGTGGATGGTACATTACTTCTTCCCTAGGGTCAGCAGTAGGATATCAGGAACTCTAAGCTCAGTCCAACTTTTTGCATTTGGGGTGTTGAATATACTTTTCTAAGTAAACATACTTTTTGGTGTGTATGTGTGTGTGTGTGTGTGTGAGAGAGAGAGAGAGAGAGAGAGAGAGAACGAGAACCACACACCAGAAATATTTTTACCATAATAGTGGAAACAAAAATATATAATGTGATAACTCTTTTTTTTTTTTTTCCCCCCGAGACAGGGTTTCTCTGTAGTTTTTGGTGCCTGTCCTGGAACTAGCTCTTGTAGACCAGGCTGGTCTCGAACTCACAGAGATCCGCCTGCCTCTGCCTCCCGAGTGCTGGGATTAAAGGCGTGCGCCACCATTGCCCGGCAATGTGACAACTCTTATGTCACTAAAAAGAGGCTGAGTATGGTGGCACATGCCTTTAATCCCAGCATTCAATGGAGAGACCCACATAGATCTCTTCCAGGCCAGCCAGAGCTACATAGTGAAACCCTGTCTCAAAAAGAAAAAAAATCTAGTATCTAAAATAAAGTATACCTAGGTATGATGGCAAACACCTGCAATCCCAGCACTTGGGAAATAGAAACAGGAGAATCAAGAGTTCGGTCATCCAAGCAGGACATGATGGTGCAAACCTTTAATCCCAGCACTCTGAAGGCAGGGCCATGTGAATCTCTTGAGTTCAAGGCCAGCCTGATCTACAGAGTGAGTTCTAGGACAGCCAGAGCTACACACAGACACACAAAAATAGAACGTGACTCATTTAGTCAAGTTCCTGCTTATCTTTCTTATCCAGCTCATGTGTAAGGTGAAGGAGTGCCCGTGCCCACAGCTGTTAGTACTAGAGTTAAATCCATTTGCCCATGTAATATTTACTGTGTAACCACCATACACAGAATGAAATTTCTTTTTTTTTTTAAACATTTATTTATTTATTATGTATACAGTGTTCTGTCTGTCTGTATGCTTGCTGGCCAGAAGAGGGCACCAGATCTCATTACAGATGGCTGTGAGCCACCATGTGGTTGCTGGGAATTGAACTCAGGACCTCTGGAAGAACAGTCAGTGCTCTCAACCTCTGAGCCATCTCTCCAGCCCCACAGAATGAAATTTCATCAGCTGAATGACTTTCCTTTATTACGTAACAATGAGAAGAGGGGTGAAGAGGTGGCTCAGTGATTAAGGGCACTTCGTATTCTTCCTGAACACCTGTGTTCTGTTCGCAGCACCCACATCAGGCAGCTCACAAACTGCCTGTAACCCTGGCTCCAGGGAGATATGAAGCCTCTAGCCTTCGAGGGCACCTGCACTCATTTGCAGATAAACTCATAATTAAAAACAATAAAGTCATTCTCAACAGTAGTTCTAACTACTTGAGAAACTGAAAGAGGATCACCTGACCCTAAGTTCAGGACAAGCCTGAAATACAATGAAATTCTATCTAAAAAATAACCCTTGCCGGGCGATGGTGGCGCACGCCGTTAATCCCAGCACTCGGGAGGCAGAGGCAGGTGGATCTCTGGGAGTTCGAGACCAGCCTGGTCTACAGAGCTAGTTCCAGGACAGGCTCCAAAGCTACAGAGAAACCCTGTCTCGAAAAACCAAAAAAAATAAAAAAATAACCCTGAAGTTAGAGGTGTGGTTCACAAGTAGAGTACATGTTCTAGGATGGTTAAGGGCCCCATCTTTTCATGTCCTTAAAATAACCCCTACAAGACCCATTGACAAACTGCTTATATCCTACATAAAAGGTAATAAGAAATATAAAAGTGAGCACTGAGCCAGATGGTGGCATACATAACACACAGAAGCAGAAAGCTAAGTTGCAGCCCAGCTTAAGCCACATCTCATGATCCAATAGCAAAAGAAAGTTATAGGTTTGTGTACGTGCATGTATATATAGACATACATGTTTATGTAGTATGTGTATATATGCATATGTAAACATGTTTATGTGTGTATATGTATGTAGTTCCTCATATACTTAATAGGGGAGTATGTACACATTTGGGCATGTAGAACTAAGGGCATTACTACAGTGCTAATACTCTCTACCTTTGTTTTGGGACATGGTCTTAGAAAGTCTGAAGTTCCTGATTAGACTAGGCTGACTGGCCAGTGAGTTACGGGAATCTGCCTATCTCAGCACGATCGGAGTTAAAGGATCATGCCACCACTTGTGGGTTCTGTTGGTGGTGTTTGTTTTTGGTTTTTTTTGATCTTTCAGAACAGGGTCTCTCTGGGTAGTCTCAGCTGTTCTGGAACTTTGCAGACCAAGCTGGCCTCAAACTCAAGAAATCTGCCTGTTCCTGCCTCCAAATCTTGGGATTAAACTTGTGTGGCACCACCACCAGGCCACTCCTGGGTTTTGGGGAGAGGTACTGGGGATCCAAACTCAGAATCCTTGTCTGTTTTCGGGTTTTGTTTTTTTGAGACTGGGTTTCTCTGTGTAGCTTTGGCTGTTGTAGAATTCACTCTGTAGACCAGGCTAGCCTTGAACTCAGAGATCGCCTGAGTGCTAGGATTAAAGGCGTGTGCTATCACTGCCTGGCTTCCTTGTGCTTTTGAGGCAGGTACTTACCAAGCCATCTCTCCAGCCCTGACCCATCATTTCCGTGATCTATATTCCCATGTCTAGACCCTAAATTTTTACTCCAGAGGCCTATGAATGGGGTTGGTAACTCAAAAGACCCCAAGAGGAGCTAATCTTTTGGTATTCATGAGCTAGCCTAAACAGCAGACTGAAGGATGACTGAATTCACACCCCCAAGTGTGTTAGTGAAGCAATCTGAGTGTGGAAATAGGCTGGGCTACACAGGAAGAACATATCTGATTAAAACAAAAATAAAATTCACAAACTATCCTAGAAGCACATGTAACTGAATCTTTTACAGAGGACCCAAATGTCCTTTATATTGCCAAGAGCTAGTCAGATGAGTAAGACTAGCATACAATGTAAAATCTGTTATTTAGGGCTAGTGAAAGGCTTTGTGGAAAAGGGCACGTGAGTTTGACTGCCACGTGGTGGAAGTAGAGTTGTCGTCTGATGTCAAGCACTATGGCAAGAAAGTGCCCAGACACATAAACACACAAAATAAGTGTAACAAAAATAGAGCCTGTATTTGAACATTAGGTACTTCTTTATACTGATTGTTCATATATTTTCATGAAGGTCCAACATAGAAACTGACAACAAAACAGAATATATAATGCATTTGATCAGAGATAAAACTGAAAAAAAAATGAACAGAACAACAAAACACTTTATTTCAGTAATCAGTCCAGAATGTCTGAAAATGCACATTATCAGTTGGTTAGGGCAATAAGAGCCTCCACAACGTTGCCCATGTGTTCCCGCAAGCTCCTTTCTGCTGCTGCTCGAGAGATCTCCATCTCTGTCATCTGCAAGAAAAGGGTAAATCATGTCACCGTAGCCGCCTCTCAGGCATAAATGTGTCAACACCACTTTTGGGAACCCAAATTAGGTAGAACTTCACTTGAGCATCCACTAAGGCATTGCTACTCACTATCAACTCCAGATCTTCCTTCTTGATCGTGACCTTCGCCAGTTCCTTTTCCCTGTAAATACATATGTGTCTTCATTCTCTATCTCTGCCATAAACTCCCACAAAGAACACTCCCAGCAACACACTGCAAATGGGTGGAACAGGGTTGACCGAAAACATCAAGTAAACGTACCCACCCCTCCCCCTGGACGTTTTCCTTACCCTAAAAACTCGCTAACAACAAAGTTGGAAACCCTAGATCTACAGGAATTAATTAAAAACTTTTTTTCCCCTGGAGAACGAGGACCCGTAGGGTTGGCAGTGTGCTTTAAACTTACCGCTCCTGTTTTGCCTTTTGCTCCCTGGACCGTCTGTCTCCAATGACGGACATAGCCTGTTGAAAACACGAGTCTAGTCACCTACGACTGTGCTACCCAAATTTCCTATCTAAAACGCAATACCAAAAATAAAAACTACGTGGTTCCTCAAGTATTCAAATGACGAGTGTTCTCGAGACCAAAGGACTATGCTTAATTCCGTGCATTTGAGGTCCACTTAGGCCCACTCTCCACCAAATTCTTAAGCAAACCGCAGGCTAGGTGAGTGTTGTCGCTTATCCCCACCCTACTGCCCATTCTCACTGTCGCGATCTGCAGCCCCGAAGCCGCTGCTAGGCAGCAAACGGATCGGCTTCAACTATCCCATTCTCAACCCTCTCATACAAGCTCCCGGTCAACCTCACCGTCTCCAGATTCGAACTTTGGATCTCCTTCTCCTCCGCATAGTCAGTGACCCGCTCCAAGTCAGCAGCGCCACTATCATGCTTCCGTGGCTTCTCGGGAGGCCGCTCCGGGCCGCTGGTCTCGGTCTCTAACTCCAGCTCCACATCTCCCTCGGTCGCCATTTCGATCTCACCGCGCCGCCGCATAGGCTGCCGCTACACAACTTCCGGCAAACCTCAGCTTCCGCCCAGATATGGGGCGGGGCTGGCTCTGGACCACACCTTTGTGACTGTCTTGAGAAGCTTTGGCTAGGAGGGCCGTTCGCTTTTGACCTCTCCGGCTTGTGTTTTCTGCAGTCTCCTTCGACTAATCTGTTCACTACCCACACCATCCAAATGCACAACCTTACTTCTTCATCTAAGAATAATCCTTAAACACATTCACGCGTAATTGTATTTTCTGCAATCTCCTTCGACTAATCTATTCACTACCCACACCACCCAAATGCACAGCCTTATTTCTTCACCTAAGAACAATCCCTACACACACACCCAGTTCTGACCAACCAAGGCGGCCCACAGCTAATCCTAAACCAATTAAAAAAACATAATCCCCAGACCAGATAGGCCAACTGCTCCTAATCTCAGGAAACAGTCTGAATGATCCCGAATACGAAGCCCGGTGAAGGCATCTTCACAAGGGTATTTGCATTTACCAGTTTCTAATGATCCGTATTCATTTTCTGATATGCCCATTCTACTGCCTTAAGACTGAGTGATTATTAGCCCAGCACAGCGACCGCCCAATGGGTGAAAATCTTGAGAGGCTGCTGTTCTTCATCCGTTTTCCCAGTAATGGATCTACGCCTAACTTCTGAATCACAAATGATAGGTGCAAAAACCGTCCCCGGCCGAAGCACCACCCTGGGCCTTGCACAGCAGCATGATGGAGTCGGCGATGTCACAGCGAAAAACCCCTTTTATCAGGTGAGAGGGCATTTGAGGAGACAGACTTGAAGATGCCCTTAGACAGCTGGTTTGGTGAGAGATACCTGGTTCTTTGCCTGATAACTGGTAAACCTCTCATCCCACATTCCCAGCCACAGAGCAACGTTAGGTAAATGTAGGTGGTTCACTCCTATACTGAAGTTCTTGCAATGAAAAATCATAGCAGTGTTTAGTAAAGGCAATCCGAAGCAACTCACTACCTGATGGTGGGAAGAAGGGGTTTGTAATTTGACCTTTAACCCCACACAGTATACACCATCCCTTGCAAAGCTCCACCTTTGCTTCCTGCTCTATTCCCAGGTGTCCTGCTGTGGGCCTGTTTCCTGGACCAGCTGCTGCCACTCTAGGTGGCCCTCTCTCACAGAGTCTTCTTGTAGCCGCCTGCTCTACATCCTTCTCCACTTGGGGGCCTCAGCTATCTGCTGCCTCCTGCTGTCTAGGACAGTGGTAGAAAGGGTCTGGGGCAAAGCACATGGGGTAAGTTGGGCAGGAGGTGCAAAGTGAGGGAAAGAAACCATAACATCTAGATTGGGAACAGGGAGCAAGTGTCACCCTACCAGTGAGAAGCTGGAATCTGTCCATGCATTGTGACTTGTCCTACCTTTTGTCACAACCAAACTCCCTACAGATCCAGATGCCCTCAGTGCTGTGTGCCCACCTGTTTGGCAACTTGGACTGTCCAGTGCTCAGTGGCTCTGGGGCTGTGTATCGAGTATGTGCAGGAACTGCCACTTTCCACCTGCTGCAGGCTGTGCTGCTAGTCCGCCTCCACTCCCCCACCAGCCCACGTGCACAGCTGCATAACAGGTTTGTGTATAATTTTTGGATGGGGATGGGACAGAAGGAAGTAAGTAGACACAAGCTGGCTATAGGAAACTCCAGGATGAAGAAAGACCACTGTAAAAAGACAGAAAATAAGTTTATAAACCCCTGGGCTCTAAATTCAAAGTAACAATGGTTATATGTAAACCTCCCATAAGTGCAGTGTTGCTCATGAGACTTTTGGCATCTTAATTAGAACTTGGACTACAATGGGACTTGGGACTTGTTCCACCTCTCCTCTTCCTAGCTGCCATACTTTTTTTTTCCTTTTTCCCCTTTGCCTTTTCTCCTACATCTAGTTTTCTCTCTACCCCCACTAGCTTCTGGAGCTTCAAGTTGTTGTTCCTGTTAGTTCTCTGGACTGTTGCCTTCTGTATCCCTGATGAGCATCTCTTCCCAGGTACTCTTCATCTTACACCCTCATCAGCAAGAGTTGACCACGACTTCCTAGTTCACGACAGGAAGTTCGACATAATGCACACACCTGTAATCCTAGTACGCCGGAGACTGGAGCAGGACTGAGTTTGAGATCTGCCTAGGCTACACAAGCTTCCTAATCAAAAAGGGGGTGGAGGGATACAGTGACCAGCCAGAGCTAAAAGTTACCAATGGTGTCTATCTTGCAGCCTGGCATTATATTGGCATCTGTGGAGGCTTCACATTCATCCTATTACAGCTGGTGCTTATCACAGCCTTTGCCCACTCATGGAACAAGAATTGGTAAGGATCTCCTAACCCTAAAGGTTCCCCCCAAGGAGGGTGACAGGCATTATTGGATAAACACAGAAAGGCCACATTAGGTATTGCCCCTATGCCTCCCAATGAATAGTACCGAAATGCTCAAGAAACCAGATGTGATGCCACTCACTTGTGATCCCAGCACTGTAGAGGTGAGAACAGGAGGGTCAAACGTTCAAGCCAGAACAAGACTCATGATCTCACAAAAATGAAGCAGGGTAGAGAGTTCCAAATCAACCTCTTAACACACACACACACACACGTAATCAAGAATGGTGATACGGCTGGGCAGTGGTGGCACACACCTTTAATCCCAGCACTCAGGAGGCAGAGAACTCTGAGTTCGAGGCCGGCCTGGTCTACAGAGAGTTCCAGGACAGGCTCCTAAACTAGAGAAACCCTGACTTGAAAAAAAAATAATGGTGAAGCCGGGCAGTGGTGGTGTAGCCAAGTGGTGATGGTGCACAGCTTTAATCCCAGCGCCTGGGAGGCAGCGGCAAGGGGGTCTCTAAATTCAAGGCCAAGGTAGTCTCCAAATAGAGTTCCTGGACACACAGAAACCTGTCTCAATAAACAAGTAAATAATCAAGCAAAAAAGTGACAAATACCCATAATCTCAACACTCAAGATGCTGAAGGATTGAGGCATGCTGGGGCAGGAGGACTGCCAAAAGTTCAGGACCAATCTGAAATACATAGTGAGTTCAAGGACTGTCTGGAGTATATAGAGGTCCTGTCTCAAAACAAAACAAAAAAAAAGCCAAGACCAAGAATATACTGTGTAGACTAGTGGGCTGACCAATTAGTGTCTGCTGAGAGATGGGGTTGGAGTGACAAACCCTAATCCACTTCTCTTTAGGCAGACTGGCGCAGCCCAAGACTGTACCTGGCTCCTAGCTGTATTACTGACTACCCTAGGATTCTACAGTGTGGCAGGTGTGGGAGCTTTGCTACTGTTCCACCACTATACACACCCTGATGGCTGCCTGCTCAACAAGATAATACTCAGCCTACATCTTTGCTTCTGTGGCCTCCTTTCTTTCCTCTCCATCGCACCTTGCATCCGCCTCAGTGGGTATTTGTGACTTAATATTCTAGATTTTTGGATGGGCTGTGTCCCTTTGAGTATTATAACTTTATTAGGCTTCTCAATTATCTAAAGAACCTCTGCCGCTTCTCCCACACCCTCAGCCTCCCCCAAGGATGAGGGTAGAAATTCAGGTAGAAAGTGGGGAAAATTCATGTCAACTAATGACAGCTGTTTTCTCTAGAGCACCCAAGCTCTGGCCTTCTACAAGCCTCTATCATCAGCTGCTATATCATATATCTGACCTTCTCTGCACTGTCCAGCCGCCCCCCAGAGACAAGTGAGAACCCAAGTGCTGAAGACCTTTTCTGTTCCTGCTAAATGCCCAGCTTTGTTTTTAACCCCTTTCTCTTCTGTTGCCCCTTGGCAGTAACCTTTCAGGGACAGAATCACACCTTGTGCCTGCCTGGCCAGAATAAAATGGAATCACGAATACCAGACACCTCGGTAGCAGTGTTGAGTGCGGGCATCATGTATGCCTGTGTGCTTTTTGCTTGGTACGTAAAGATGTCAATGGGAAGTGTGAGAGGATGCCCAGTGCTCAGTGAAGGAGAATGTCCAGGGCTGTGGTTTATTTAAACTGTAGAGCAAGACTAGAACCAGAAAAGCTCCCCACGAACAGGGACAATTTCTAAGAATAGCACTTTGTCAGATGATCTGTGTGAGATGACGGGGGCAGGGGAGAATGTCTTGAGTTTAAAATTCAGACTTTAAGGGCCTCTGAGAGCAAAATACCGCTCCCCACCCCCACCCCAAAAGATACCACCGTTGACTAGTTGGCAATAAAAGCCCCTAATCCTTATCTGGCACAAAGTTAAACTCTTTCTTTCACAGCAACGAGGCTTCCTACCTGGCTGAGTTATTTGGACCCCTGTGGATCATCAAGGTTTACAATCATGAGTTCCAGGTGAGCATCCAGAGCTCACTAACCCCAACATCCCACCCCAAACACAGAGACACACATCCTACCAACCTCTACCCAGAATGCTCAGATTCTAGCTATTTCCTTTTATTGAGTACCCACAATGTGCTAGGCACTGTGCTAGATACTTTACATACATCATCTCGTTTAATTTAATCCTCACAACAACCCTGTGAGGTAGGTATTTGCTCCATTTCACAAATGGAGGAGTTGAGGCACAAAAGATTAAACATCTCACCAAAGTTTGCATAGCCAGTTATATGCTGGAGCAAGAATTTGAACCCAGGTGTGCCTCCACTTATTATACCAGGCCAATATTTTCAAAGGGAAACTTTCCTAAATTAGTCCCCTTACATTGTCTTGAAGTCATTTCAAAACATGTTGCTTTGTTTTACAGAAGCCCTCACTCTGTTTCTGCTGCCCCCAAACAGTGGAACTAGAGGATGGTGAGCCAAGTGGGCAATCTAGGCAATGGTTGAATCCTGTAAAGTGTCAAAGAGCCCTCAAGAGCCTGCGTAAGTCGGGGGAGGGAAGTTTCACCAACACTGCTTCCCAGCAGCACTTCTCTCTCTCTAGGGCAAAGTTGCAGAGTCAGACCAACTGGCCAAGAGAGCCCAGCAGCCGCCCAGGTGCAGCGCCAGCATCTTCCCTACAGCTACTCTGCCTTCCACTTCACCTTCGTTCTTGCCTCACTCTATGTCATGGTTACCCTTACCAACTGGTTCAGGTACAATGGAAGCAGACATAGAATATTCTCCTGAAAACCTAGCTTAAGGAAAAACCTGTTATGAGGAAAAGGCCCTGCAGAATCTCTAATCAGTCTTTGGTTTCACAGTTATGAGGGAGCAGAACTGGAGACCTTCACTAAAGGTAGCTGGGCTACCTTCTGGGTCAAAGTTGCCTCATGCTGGGCCTGTGTACTCCTCTCTATGGGGCTGCTCCTGGCACCACTCTGTTGGCTCCCCACTAAGAATCACCACCACCCTGGTACCTTCAGGCAACACTGCCATCACGTCAGTACTGCAAGGTAAAATCTAACCCCCCATTCTCTATTTAAAAACCGGGTACTCTTTAGATTATGTTCCTAATCTTAGCTCTGGGAGTCATCTGGCTGAGCTCAGTACCTCAAGAACAAATGAGTACCACATAGGCTAAAGTGGAAGAAGTGGCCAAAGACACCCTTGATTTCTTGATTCAGTAAAAACTGTCTTCATTCAAGCTCAAGAGTCTAACTCCCAGGTCAGTAAACTCAGGAGCTGATCTAGCAGTGTGGCACCAGCCCCTTCCTGGCTTCTGAGCTAGAAATAAGGGGCAGGAAAGACCAACAGAGTCTGAAGATCTGGGTCTGCTCTTGGCAATCAAAAGGAAACAAGTGGTTCAGCCCTGGGCACAGGATGTAAGAGCCCAGAACCACAGAACAAACCAGGGCACAGGAAAAACAAGCAGAGGCTACCACAGGTTTTAATCCTGAACTTGAGGTCAAAGAAACTGGAAGACAAAAACCACCTTCATTCCACGAGGAATGACAGAACATAAGAGAATGTGAACACCGAAAGTTGGTGAGCGAAGTTTTTTTTTTTTTTTTTTTGGCCAACTTTCAAACTTTCAAGCAAACAAAGAATGAGGAAGAGACATAAACTTAGGTCTTAGATCCTTCCCCTCTGATGGCCCTCAATACCATCATGGGGATGGTGTTCAAGGTCTTAGGGCATAAAATCACAGAAAAGAAGTCTAGAGTTCTCAGAGGATTCCTCACCACCAACTGGAGTGCTTTTCTGGTTGCCATAGTAAAATAAAGGCTTCTTCTGTGATGTCTCCCTTATGAAGTCTACAAATCTCTCTTAGTTGCCTAAAAGTCTCCCCTTTTGGTGGGAAAGGGCAGTCACTCCTCCATCCCCATCCCCCCAGTCCCCAGTCAAACCAGGCGCTCACGGAATTACAAAGCTACTTTTAATACTTTGGGGTGTGCCCCACAGGAATAAAAAACACTGGGAAGGGGTAACCCCCTCACCCCCAGGAGTGGCCCAGGGGTAGAGAGGCTACCTGAGGGGAAGGAAGCACAAAAGGAACCCGCTGCAGACTCAGGGCAAAGGGAATGCCATCGGTGCTGGGACCTGTGAGCACTACAGGAAGAAACTCGAGCATGGTGGGACTGGCTCCAGGCACACAGGCGAAGGGCAAGAGGGTTGGACACGAAGCCACAAAGCTACTTGGGTTCCTCCTTCTTCTCGTTTGCCTTTTTCTGCTTCTGCTGCATGATCTCCGAGTCCCTGGGGGTAGAGATGATGGGGCACTGGGAGGTACCAGAGGGCAAAAAGGACAAGATGCAGGGGGATGAAGGGTACAAAGGATAAGATGGAAGTGGATGGGACAAAGTTCAGCATATGGCTGCTATATTCCCACCCTAGGCGAACAAGAGGAATAGAGCTAAGGCTCAAAAGGCAATCAGTGTCCATCTGGATGCTGCCCAAGGGGTCAGAAGTCTGGCCACTCAGGCCCAAGGCTCTCTATTCTGTACTGACTACCACACCCAACGACACTAGTGAACAAAGTCGGGAGAAGGGAGGAGATACAAGCAGCAAGGAGGTCCAAAAGTACTGGGCTGTCAAAACAACTGTTCTTGACGTGTGAAGCTCCCTGCCCTTGCCCTTAAGGTCACAACCCGGGCACTCAGAAATCAGCCTGCGGACCGGGTCCCGCCCCAGTCCCTTCCTGTATAGCTGTGACCTAACAATTTGGAGTGGGGAGGAAATAAAACCCTAGAGGAAGCAATGCGCTCTGCCCCTCACACCTCGTCCAGACTCGAGCCCTGAAATAGTTCTCTTTCCTGGTACACCCCTCGGTCTAACCCAGGTCGCCCCGTCCCGACCCGTCCCGTCCAGTCCTTTCCCCTCCCTGGGGCTACCTCTGCTTGCGGGCGGCAGCAGAAAGCCCATCATCTCGGCGCTTTCCCTTAACCGAGTCGCTCTGCTTCTTCATGTTCTTCTGGCGGGCGAGCTCTCGCTGGTTACCGCCTAAGGAGAGAAGGTAGAAAGTGAGGTGCCGGGGCTGCTCCGAGCACACACCAGCGCCCCTCCTCCCGCAACCGGTACCCGACTATGCCCCCGCCTCGGCGCCGACCCCAGAGTCGGGCTTCGGTGCCCGGGGTGTGGCAGCCGCCACGGGGCAGGCTAACTTGGGGTACAGGAGGGCGGTGCGGCCGAAGCTGCTTGGCGGCGCGAGTCAAGTTTGGGGTGCCGCGGGGGCCCAGACAGCTGCTACAGCGTATGGGGAGCTCCGGGGCCTCGGGGACACGCGCTGGGGCCCATCACCCAAGGCACCCGGCTTCCCCAGCGAGGAAAGCCGCCAGCGGCCCGCGCCCAACAGAGGGGTCTCGGCAAGTGGCGGCGTGCGGAGGGCTGCGCTTCCGGCTGTGCGGGAGGCAGCTGGAGAGCGCTCCCTCAAGAACCTTCCGCCGGGAACGCTGAAGCGACGAACACGCCGGCTCTCGGCCGTGCGGCTAGCGAGCGCGGAAAGAAAAGGGCGAGAGGAAAGGGTCCCAGCACTCACGGGTCATGGCGACGGCAGCGGCTCCAACCTGCCTCCGTTGCGTCCCCTCGTTCTGGCCGACGTTGCAGGCCCCGCCCCCTCCGCGCGACGCCACCAAGTCGTCTCCTTCCTCCCGCCCCTTCACGCCCGGACGCCGACTCTCATTGGGCGGAGCAAAACACGTGGAGCGCGGTGCCACGCGCCAGCCCCGGAGGGCGAAGAGCGGAGCTCGGTGGGCGGAGTGCCGGGCGCGGGGCGGGGCTTCCCGGGAGCGCTGGGTCCGGCCGGGAGAAACTAGGCCGGGTCACGTGGGCGGCGGGGTGGAGGGGTGCGGCTGGCGATGTGGCGCTCCGGCGGTGCCGAGCACGTGACCGGGCAAAGTGACCTCATGTGGGACACTTTTAGGGTACTGACAAAGTCGCCCCAAGGCACGCGGTGGCGGGGTGGGGAGGGGGTGAGGGCGGGATTTCCTAGGTGGTTCATCCGGTTGTGTGCTATCAGTTTTTCTCTAGAGCGAAACTTTGTGCTGTTACTTAGGACACCCATCCTCCCAGCCCCATGGCAGAACACTTGCCACGGTTCGTCTGAAAACACACACAAATACTTTCCCACTTTCGTTCCTCGTTGCTGCCGCTTCACTGTGTCCTAAAGTGATCTACAATCATTTCCCAAGAGCCTGCACCCAGGGCTCCTGCATGCACAGCTCCCCTACCAAGCTGTACTTCCAGAATGCCCACAGAAACTTTGAGTGTACCTTGGGGGTGATGATACACATTTAAATCCGTGGATTTACTTCAGGAACTGAGATTACGGAATGCTCTGGTTATATCTGTCTAGGCTATTTCTAAATTCTATCATCTGCCCCAACAGTTTCTTCTGGATTGTTAAAAGAAATCAGGCTGATAACTAAAACTTGTTCTCGTTTTCTGTCATCTCACAGATGCGGCCCCGTAGATGGGGTTAGTTAAACCTTCTCTCCCATAGGTCTAAGACAACCTGAGTTCTGCTAAACTAACAGGAAACAACCCAACAGAGGGCAGAACAGTAGAATTATCTTCTTGCTGCCCAAGCCAAAGACAACCTTAGTTAAGGCCCTTTATCCTGTTTAGTATCATGACTGAGCAACTGAATTCAGGCAGTGCACACTCTAAAGCAGCGGCTCACAACCTTTGGGGTGACCCAAAGGTCACCTAAGACCTTCGGAAAACACAGTTCATAACAGTGGTGAAATTACAGTTATAAAGTAGCAACGAAAATAAGGGTCATGACAACATAAGGAACTATTAAAGGGTCAAAGCATTCGGAAGGTCAAGAGCCACTGCTCTAAAGTCTATAAAAGTCAAGTATTTCCTTTGTTCTGTGAGCTGTTGAATCTACAATCCCAGCCCCAGCTTCTCCAGTACTGCAGATGGCCAGCATTTTTTTCCTAGTTTTATTTATTTATTTACTTATTTATTTATTGTCCGAGATAGGGTTTCTCTGTGTAATAGCCCAAGGTGTCGTGGAATTAGCTAGGTCTTGTAGACAAGGCTAGCCTCGAACTCACAGAGATCCCCCTGCCTCTGCCTGGTCAGCATTTCTAAAGGATATTTTCCTGAAATCCTCAGACCACTGTAAAAAGGATTTTCTGATTTTCTGAGCCACGCTGTGGTGGCGCACGCCTTTAATCCCAGCATTCAGGGGGCAGAGGCAGGTGGATTTCTGTGAGTTTGAGACCAGCCTGGTCTACAGAGTGAGCTGCAGGACAGGTTCCAAAGCTACACAGAGAAACCTTGTCTCAAAAAATAAAAATTAAAATAAATCAGTTGCAGAGCTGTTTCTCACCTACCCTAGTTGAGATGGTATCTTTCTTGTTTTTGTGACTGTGCTTCATACCCCAAAATCTAACTGGCCCATGATCTTCCAGGCAATTCTCCCATCTCCACCTCCAATCTTGGAGTGCTCAGATTAAGGTGTGCACCATTGGGCGATGGTGGCACACGCCTTTAATCCCAGCACTTGGGAGGCAGAGGCAGGTGGATCTCTGTGAGTTCGAGACCAGCCTGGTCTACAAGAGCTAGTTCCAGGACAGGCTCCAAAACCACAGAGAAACCCTGTCTTGAAAAACCAAAAAAAAAAAAAAAAAAAAAAAAAAAAAAAAAAAAAAGTGGATAAGCAAACTCAATCCAGACGTGAAAGTTAGAGTCAATCGAGATAAGTGAGAGCTGAAGGCTCTGAAGCAAGGAGATGAAGAGGGAGGTTTAGAGCCCCCAGATATGAAGGAGAAGAGGAAAACAGAGCAGAAGGAAAGACTCCAGACACCATCAGCAACACCTGATCATAAGTCATAAAAACTGGGCTTATCAAGCCTCCCACACCAGCTTCCACGGTGAAAGCTACTTAGGGTACCCTTGTTAGGGCAACAAGAGCTTCTGCCTTAGATACGGAATTGAGAGATGAGCAAAACAGTTTGGGATGAGGGAACAAATTCTTTTTGGGCTTGGTTATTACTTCCAGAAGCATTAAGGGGAGTAGAGGAACAGAGCCACGAAGCAAACAGTCCCCTCCTACCAACCACACCACCCATGTACTTTGCCCAAGACTATTATCAGTCCTGGCAGAACCTAGCCTTGTAACCTTACCTCCAGTCCAGCATCAGCAGGAAGAGCTGCAATAGATTCATTTATTTTGTTCAATAATTGTTCATTGCCCATTCCCTAAGTGTTAACTGCTTTATGAGGTGTTGCATATACAGTGATGACCAAAATATGTCTCTGGGCTGATGAGATGGCTCGGCAGGTTAAGGCACTTGCTGCCAAACTTGGGGACCTGAGTTCAATTCCTAGGATCCACGTGATAGAAGGAAAGAAGCAAGGCCTGAAAGTTGACCTCCAACCTTGGCACAAATGCCATGGTACATGTTCATTCATACAATAAATCAATGTAATTTTAAATATAGAAAGGAAAAGGCTAGTTTCCTCTCCACTCTCTCTCTCTGTGTGTAGATATATGCAAATTGTTGTGACAATTGCTTTAAAGAAGAAACAGATTCTACGCAAGGGTGCTATTCAAAATATTTCTCAGCGTGCACACCATAAGCACTGACCCATCAAAACAGATGTCAATATAATTTGAATGAAGGCTGTGAACAATTTTACTTGTCTCGGTATGAAGTAACTGAATAGAATTGCTGCTTTTATGCAGGGAATAAACTTGTAGGCTCCATAGGTCGGGGCCAGTGAGGTCTCTCATGTTATGCCTGAGGCAAAAAGATGAAGAATTGGCACAATCAAGGAGGGAGCAAAAGAACACTTCAGCCGAGGGAACAGCATGTGAGGGCCTTAAGGCCCTGTTCCCTCAGGCTGTGTCATCTAGAGTCATGGTTAGCGAGTAGGTAATAAGTTGCCTAGGAATCTAGGTCAAGGAGGTAGTAAGGGCAGTGGTACAATGACAGCAGGGCATACCAGGGTAAGATGTAATCAGAGTCACAGGAGTGACAGAGCTTTATTTACAAAAGCAAGGGAGTTTGTTCCCGTAAAAGGATGCCATAAAAATCAAAATGCCGCTCCAGTGAGGAAGACAAGATAGCAACCTAACTGGTATGGTAGGGGCACAGTGGAAAACAGCAGCTTCACAGAGCCAGGTATGGTAGTTCACACTTATAACCTCTCGAGCTGAGGCAGGTAAATCTGGAGTTCAAGGGCAGCCTGGGCTACACAGTAAAATCTTGTCTCAAAAGCAAAAAGGATCCAGCAGTGGTGGCGCACGCCTTTAATCCCAGCACTCAGGAGGCAGAGACTAGCGGACCTCTGTGAGTTCAAGGCCAGCCTGGTCTACAGAGCCAGTTCCAGGACAGCTAGGTCTATTACACAGAGAAATCTTGTCTCGAAAAAAAAAAAAAAATAAAACAAAACAAAAAGAGAGAGAGAGAGAAAGAGAGAAAAGAAAAAAGAAAGAGAAATGAATAAAAAGAAAAAAGAGTGATTGGGAGAGAGAACAATAGAGATCCTATTTTTAACTGATACTCATGCAAACATTCAAGTTTAACAAAAACAGCATTAGAAAGTGATAGAGAGAAACTATATGCATATTTGTGAGACAGGCAGAAAAGAGTTAAGTTTGGGAGGACTGGATTCTTCCTTTATTTTCTTCTCTGTTTTCCAGCACTAAGTACTGACCCTAGGGACTCTTTCACAGAACTGGACCACTGAGCTACAGCACCAGAATTTTTATTTTTTGTTTTGAGTAAGGGCCTCACTAAGTTGCCCAGAGAGAACTTATGATCCTCCTGTCTCATTCTTCTGACTACTGAGATAACAACAGGGGTGAGCCAGTATGGCTGGCATGACATCTCCTTTCTTTATTTTATTTTATTTTATTTTAAAGATTTATTTATTTATTATGTATACAGTATTCTCAGTACTCTGCCTGCAGGCCAGAAGAGGGCATCAGACCCCATTACAGATAGTTGTGAGCCACCATGTGGTTGCTGGGAATTGAACTCAGGACCTTTGGAAGAGCAGGCGGTGCTCTTAACCACTGAGCCATCTCTCCAGCCCCCTATTTTATTTTATTTTATTTTATTTTATTTTATTTTGTATGTGAGTACTTTCCCTGCATGTATGTATACCATGTGAGTGTTTGATGCCTGGCACTAGAATTACAGGCAGTTGTAAGACACCGTGTGTGCTGGAAATCACACCTGGGTTCTCTGAAAAGGTAACCTATAATCACAACACTGGGTGTGGTGGTCCTGGCCCACACAATCTCAGCACTCAGAAGCAGGCAGTCTTTGTGAGTTCGAGGCCAGCCTGATCACAGAGCAAGGTCCAGGACAGTCAGAGCTACATAGAAAGACCCTGTCCCAAGAAACAAAATGACATGCATGTACTACCGTATCAGTTCACAAAGCGTTGATTTAATAGTGAACCCTAGCCTTTCTGCAGGCTTGACAGGCTCTGCACCCACTGAGTGGCATCCCCAGCCTCAGGTCAGGCTTTCATCCCCACCATTTCACCAAAAGTATTCTTGTTGGTTTTGTTTTGTTGTTGTTGGGTTTTGAGACAGGGTTTCTATGTGTAGCCCTGGCTGTCCTTGAGCTCACTCTGTAGACCAGGTTAGCTTCAAACAGAGATCCACCTCTCCAGTGCTGGGATTAAACATGTGTGCCACTACTACCTGGCTCTAAAAGGATTCTTATTAGAGTTACTAATGAACCCACGTTTCTTTTTGTTCTTTCTGGTCTTAGAGATAAGTTGCCTGAGTTGTTACAGGTTTCCCAGGCCTGCCTCAGTTTCCTCAGTAACTGGCAAGGTAGGTGTGTCCCACCATAGCTGAATACAACCTGCCTTTCTCCATTCAGTGGTCTTTTCTTTTTTGAGAGGGGTATGATTGGAACTGAGTACACACATGGTCTGTGCCTGTCCCACGATGGATCACTTAATACACAGCCCCCACTCCCCACTCCCAAGCCCCTTAACTTGCTCTCTTTTCCTTGTTTTATGAAGCACTTACCACCTTATTTATATGTTAACTAATATACATTATATGTTATTTTTAATTTTCTTTTCTTCTCATATTAATTTCTAGTGTTTCCCTCCTTTCTAGAATGTAGGCATTTCCAAAGCAAGAATCTGTTACTTGATCCCTGGGGTTCAGTAAATGCCTGGTACTCAAAATCGCTGTTGAATGAATGAATGAATAAAATGTAGGTAACACCTTTTGTGAAAGCTGAATAACAGGTAAAGTTCACAGTGGTCACCCTATAAATGTCAGGTCTCTATCTCCATTCTCCAAATATCTTCCTTAGTTACCTACTGTTCTGGTCTCTCTTGAATTATTTATCGGTTTGGTTGTTTTTAAAATGAGGATATCACTATGTTGTCTAGATTGATCTTGAACAATACTTGGGCATAATTCATCCTACTAATATGCATTACCATATGACTTTTCCTGAGTTCTAGTCTTGGTGTGTGTGTGTTTCAAGACAGGGTTTCTCTATAGCTTTGGAACCTGTGCCGAAACTAGCTCTTGCAGACCAGGCTGGCCTCGAACTCACAGAAGATCCGCCTCACTCTGCTCCCAAGTGCTGGGATAAAAGACATGTACCACCAGCGACCGGTTATGTGTGTGTGTGTGTGTGTGTGTGTGTGTGTGTGTGTGTGTTTTCTGGGACACCAAACCAAGGGCCCCATGCATTCTAGGCAAGCAATTTACCCACGAGCTGGAGCCCCAGGCCCCAGTCTCAAAGGAGAGTTTAAATTTAGAAAAATCCTACAAAAGGCACCAGCTATCATTTAAGGAAAGAAAGCCCAGGTGATCAGCTATACAAATTACAACTGTTAAACCAGATGTGGTGGCCTAAACCTTTAATCTCAGCATATGGGAGGCAGAGGCAGACAGATCTCTGAGCTTGAGGCCAGGGTAGTCTACAGAGTGAGTTCCAGGGCCAGCCAGGGCTGTACAGAGATACCCTGTCTTAAAAAGAAGAAGAAGAAGAAGAAGAAGAGGAGGAGGAGGAGGAGGAGGAGGAGGAGGAGGAGGAGGAGGAGGAGGAAGAGGGAGAAGGAAAGAAAGAAAGAAAGAAAGAAGAAGAAAAAAGGAAGGAGGAAGGAAGCGAGTTACAACTGTTTATCAAATTGGTAAATTGTCCTCCACAGAAACAGAACGGCCCAGTGGATAGGTAAATGTACCTGTGGCTGCTGTTGGCAATTTGTTGCAAAGATTTAAAAAATCAACATAACAGATTTTCCCCCATATAGACATATTTTGATTGTAATGGTTGACAAATTTTGACAAATTATTTGCTTTGATGAACGGCATTTCGATCACTTGGAATTATAGAGGTCGAAGCATTTAACCGAGATCCTAGTTATGAAAATGGAAATAAAGGAATTCTTAGAAATAACCCAATATGGACAGGTGGAGACAGGAAGGGCTGGTCTGAGATTTGTCCTGGGATCTCAAAGCAATAGGCTCTGTAGCTCTGAGATGCCTGGCTACTTCATTGCACTTTCTGGTCAGGATTAGTGACTACCACCCGGAATCCCGGCACTCGGAATCGTTAGTGAGTTCAGCAAAGTGAATGAAACCCTGTCTACAACGAACAAACAAACGGGAGGGGAAAGTATTTTTTGAAGGAGCCAGCTGCCGGTTTAGTCACTTTCACTTACGTTTATTATGTCACGAAGTGACAACTGGGATTGAGTTGTGGCTTTCTGCCCTGCAAATCTTTTCGCTACCAACTACGCCCCACATCTCCACCCACCGGTAGGTGAGGCTCCAGTCCCAGACAGCCAGCCTTCCAGGACTGCTGAGGCACCCACCCACCAGGCTTTACAACCTCTATTAAGTCCCAGTTAGAAACTGGATTGGGATTCGCCTCAACAGACGCAGCACCGCGGCTAAGAAAGGAAAAGCGCTGCACTTGGTCCCATTGAGGTCTGCCATTCTCTGTTCCTCTGGGTTCTTCGGGCTCAGGGCCTTGAGGGCATAAATGACTCAATCCGCCTACCGACCAGTCTCCATTTCCCTCCCCGTGGGACTTAAGGGACTTAAACCCTCTAGTGGTTTCAGGTTCATTTTTTACTTAGAGACCCGGATTCTGAAGAGTGGAGAAACTGAAGCAGAACATGAGATTCTGCGTGACGGGTCAGACCCCGGAGGCAGACTCTATACCCTTAGAAAAGCCAAAGACTACCCAAGCCAAACGAAGAAGAAACCACTCGGGTCCTGGCAGGCAGCTGGGGAGAACAAGGCACCGCCCACGCGGCTGGGGAAACTTTGGGGCGGTGCCGGGGGCGGGGTCCTGGTGAAGGGCGGGACAGACCCGGACGGCGGGAGTGCCAGCCTAGGCTTGCGCGGCAGAAGTGGTAGAAGTGGCCCTTGCCCGTGGTCTCGTTCGTTTGTGCGCCACTTTGGCACCATGGAGGGGACCCAAGAAGCTCTGAGTGGGAAAATGCGGCTCGTTTTCACCCCTGCTGCTCGGACCAGCCTTATGATGCTTAGGCTCAACGAGGCGGCGCTACGGGCACTGCAAGAGTGTCAGCAGCAACAGGTGCGGCTGGCCCCCAACCCCTTCTTCCCTTCCCGACCAACCAGACCTCGGCCACAGCCCGTTGCACTGGAGAAGGGAACGGGGAGGAGCGGTTTACGCAGGTTCCAACCTCTCCCACCTCTCCAAGTGAAGCCCGCCAGGCAGGTGTTCCCCAGCCCGAACGGCTCACCCTCTCCGCCCCCGCCCCATCCTGGGGACTTTGCTTCCTTTGTGCTCAGCTGGTGCTTGGACTCTTCCTGCAGGTACGGCCTGTGATCGCTTTCCAAGGCCACCGAGGGGTAAGTTGCAGGCCGGATGTGTGAGGAAGCTCTGGTGGGTGAGGGAGCCTAAGCGTGGGCTCTGGGAAGGTGCGCTCCGGACCGTAGCTCGCCAGTGGTCACGGTCTGTGGAAGTTATAGAACTGAACCCTAAGACGGTGAGGGGCTGATGGGGCTGTGTCCCAGGAGACTGTGCATTCTCAGCCTCTTGGGGGAACTCTGACCCAGCTGCACCTGGTGTGCTAACGAGCCCCTTGGGATCTGTCTTCAGTCTTAGAGTTGTTTGGGGAGGAGTGACTTGGGGAGGAGGGGCCGACTTAGCGGGGCTTACCATCTCCTTCTACCGCAGTATCTAAGGCTTCCAGGTCCTGGATGGTCCTGCCTCTTCTCCTTCATAGTATCCCAGTGTGGCCAAGAGGGCACTAGTGGTGGCTTGGATCTTGTGTACCAACGTTTAGGCAGGTAAGAGAAAACAGACAACAGGTAAGAGAAGTTTGCAGAAAGTAGAAGGGGAATGTGAAGAAGGGTTCAAAAGATCTTCAACTTTTTTGTTTTTGTTTTCCCCACCAATTATTTCCAGATCTGGGCCGAACTATCTCCACTGCCTGGGCTCACCGAGAGAGCGACTCACTATTTGGGCAGCCATGGATACTATCCCAGCCCCACTGTTAGCTCATGAACACCTGACTGAAGATCCCAGAGAGTCTGAGAGTTGGCAGGACACTGGAGATGCTCCTGAAGGCCATCCCCAGATGGCACTAGAAGAGGTGAGACCAGAAACAGCAGGGAGTCAGCATAAGGTGGGGCACCCAGGTCCAGGGAGCCAAGTGCTCCTGTAACTTCCCCTGACAGGTATCTGACCCACTGGCAAGCAACCACGGACAGTCACTCCCAGGATCCTCCAGTGAGCCCATGGCACAATGGGAAGTGAGGTACTGTGCTAGGCTGGGTCTGCTCTCCACCCTTACATGCTAAGTAAAATATAGGCTCATGCCTCACCCTGGTCTCTCCCGCTCCTTCCAAAAATTCTAGGAACCACACCTATCTTCCAAACAGAGAGCCGGACCAACCACCGCCTTCCCCTGCCAACCTGAAACGCCTGGACAAGGTGAGCAAGGACTTTGTTCCCCTTTTGGAGACTGGATCTCACTGTGTAGCCCTGGTAGGCCTGGAACTCCTTATGCAGAACAGGCTGGCCTCAAATTCAGAGATTCACCTGTCCCTGCTTCCTGAGTGCTGAGATTAAAGGCACGCACCGACATGTCCAGAGAGGCAGGAGCTTTTCAAAGCGTAGTTTAAAGGGCTAGGGATGTAGCTTGGTGGATGCAGTACTGGTACAGCATAAAGTCTGGCACATGCTACAAGAGAGGTCTCCAGAGACAGGAGAATCAGTTCAAGGGCATGCTTTGTTACCCAACATAGTGAGTTTGAGGCTAGCCTGGACTACTAACCTAAGGCCTGGTCTCAAAAAAGCCAAAAAACAAAACAAAAAAGGCAGGCTGGAGAGATGGCTTATCAAGTGCATTTGCTGTGCAAGCATAAGGACTGGACTGAGTCCGAATCCCCAGCGCCTATGTAAAAGGCGGGCAATGCTTCCTGTGCCTGTAACTCTAGCACTCGGGGAATGGGGACAGGTACTTGCTGGCCAGCCAACCCGGGAAAAAGAGCTTTATGCTTAGTAAGAGAATAAGGAAAAAATGGACAGAGGATGACACCCCATGTCTTCCATGGGGTGCATACCAGCAAATATACAAGAGCACAAAAAATACTTTGTTTTTTTTAGAGATAGGGTTTCTCTGTATAACTCTGGCTGTCCTTGAAAACCCTCTGTAGACTTGGCTGGCCTTGAACTCACAGAGATCCGCCAGCCTCCCGAGTGCTGGGGATTAAAGGAATGCGTCACACTCGCCCAGATCAAAAATACTTTGTTAGTTAGGTAAAACTTAAAATTTAGGAGCTGATGAAATAGCAGTTTTAAGCAAAAGAGTAAGAACCTCCTAGCTTGCTGTTTATGTCACACATTTCTTTTCAACAGAAACGTTCAGCACCTATAACCACTGAAGAACCAGAGGAAAAGAGGCTCAGAGCTTTGCCTCCTGCCCCAAGTCCACAAGGGCTATCAAATCAGGACTCCCAAGAGGGAGGAAACTGGGTGCAAGATGAAGATGGAGATTCCACGCTGGAGCAGAGTCTCTCGGATCAAGCAGGTGAGTAAATGAGAGGAGGATAAACACCAGTGGAAAAAAAAAAAAAAGACCCATAATTACTTGTTCTCTGCTTCCTTCCTAGCCTCTGAATCCCCAAGCCCCAAGGAGGTACCAGATTATCTCCTGTAAGTTTCCCACCCTTCCAGTTTCATAAAGTCTGTACATGTAAGCAGCCAAGGTTTTGGGGGCAATGAAATTGAGGGTGTCACCTCCCTGATAGGCAATACGGAGCCATCCACAGCACAGAGCAGCAACAGGCCTACGAGCAGGACTTTGAGACAGACTATGCTGAATACCGTATTCTGCATGCCCGTGTTGGGGCTGCCAGCCAAAGGTTCACAGAGCTGGGGGCGGAGATCAAGAGACTTGAGCGAGGAACCCCAGAACACAAGGTAAAGGCAGGGTTCTACTTTACTGGCCATTATCTTCCTGCTAATTACCCTCAAACATGCATGTTTAGTGACTAAGTAAAGGGACAAGCAAACTTCCTATAATATTTGGCAGAATAAAACCATAAGTTATTCCCATTTCTTACTTTTTCCTCTTTTCCCTTTCCCCAGTTTTCAATCAGTGTCGTTTTTCTTTCAGGTGCTAGAAGATAAAATAGTCCAGGAGTATAGAAAGTTCAGGAAGGTAAGACAGGCTGCAAGCAGTAAGCAGGAAGGTGGAAGCCGCTTTCCTTTTTACAAGAGTGTTTCTCTCTGCAGCGGTATCCAAGCTACCAAGAGGAGAAGCATCGCTGTGAGTACCTGCATCAGAAATTGTCCCACATTAAAGGTCTCATCCTGGAGTTTGAGGAAAAAAACAGGGGCAGCTGAAACCATGCAGAGGCCTTTCGAGCCTGTGCCCAGTGATAAACAACACAGCTCTAAGGTGGAGCAGCACATCTGCTTTTCTGATTTTGACCCTTCCATCCAAGGTGGCAAGCAGAGAGTCATGCTAGGTTCTTGCAGTTTGGTTTTTGTTATTGCCGTTAATTTTGTAGGGTGTGGGCATGGAGTCAAGTCTCCTCAGCTGTGCCCAGGAGACTAGAAAAGTAGCAGACACTTGGCTTCCTCAACTCTACTTCAGCTAAGTCATTTTCAGATCCTGAAAAATGACATTTCCAGATCAACGCACACTTTGAGAATATTAGACAAGTGAGTTTAGCTAAGTAGCCTTGCAGGAAGAAAATGAGAACTTCTGGTGTCACAGCATACCTCGATGTAAGGGAAAAGGCTTGGCATTACTCACATACTGTAACATGGCTGAAAATGAAAACCAATTGCTTCTGTCCTGTGTGATCATTAACCTTAATCATCCAATATGTGCTGTGTATGTGACTTTCTCTGAGGCTGAAAGACTGAATCCCTATGTTCCAGCCCAAGCGTTATGGTCATCTTTACTGTGCTAGATAAATGCTCCTCCACTAAACAACACTACCTTCCCCCACCCCAACATGCTCTTAAAACATTATGTAAGATCCAGATGTGCATTTTGTTATCAGGCCCTATCAGAAAGTCACAGGGAATTAAGGCTATATATCTAGGATTATGAGGAAGAGACCTAGTTAGTCATCCTCATCAATTTAAGACTATGAAATCCAATATGGACAAGTTCCACAGAGCCGCCATATACAGGCTGCCGATGCATGCTTCACCACTGCCAGGGCATAAATTTCATTCAATTTCATCTAGAATTACCCTGGGCTGAAAGTTATAATTATGGACAAGAGTCTGATTTAGCTACAAAGAGGGTCCATATTTTAATCCATTCAAAAGAAAACATCTTGTAGGCTCTTGTTCTTGCCAGTGATATATGTTTCCGTTTTACTGGAACGAAATTTAATGGCTATACCCAAAGTTCTGGGGAGAGATACACCCAGCAGTATCAACTATTCTTCAAATAAACTGGATGGAACCCCATACTGATGTCACACTGGCACGAGGCATTTCTGGGCAGGAGGTATGAACATGCAGAAAGCTTGGCTCTGTGGCAAAGATAAGCAGTTATCCATCTTCAAGACAGGAATAAAGGCAAAACAACTGTAATCTTAGTACCTGGGGGCTGAGCAGGGCGGACTGTCCTAAGTTAAAGGCCAGCCTTGGCTACAGGAGATTGAGAAATTAAGATTTAGAGATGGTAACTGGACCTAGTCAGTCTGAGGTTACAGGGATCAGTGTAGCGTACTATGACGCCTTAAATTTTTTTCCAGATAGTTTAAGATGCTAGCCTTAAACCTGCTACACAGCCAAGGATGACCTTGTAGTGTTTGGATTACAGGTGTGTGTCAATATGTCTGCCTTAGCTACAAGTACTGAACAGTATGGATCAACAGATGAAATATTTCTATCATCAATGAAAGCTCTATAGTAACAGTTTAGAGACCCTGATTCTCCATTCCATGAGGGGAAAAAGCCAACAGTATAAAGGGGGCACATTTATTGTCACTTCCAAATGTACAAAAAAAATTAGAAAATAACCCCCAACTCAATTCCCCCTCCCACCCCCACAACATTCTTCCCAACACAAATAATCTTCTCCCCAAACCACAAACATAAACTGGTCCTGGTATTTTCATAAACAGTGCAGCTAAGAAACAGTTTAGAGAAAATTGAGCAGGATTCAGAGTATATCCATTCTGTCCTCTCCTATAGTTCTGCCATCTCTGGTGTCAGAGTCCTTTTACAAAGTGGTGCATTTGGCTGTTGCTTTAGAGGTCCTCTTGTGCCTTCTTCTTCTTTTTGGGTTTTTCCTCTTGAATTATAGGGGGATTTGTAGCTTCTCGTTGTAGATAGCTAATAAAATCATTTAATTCACGGCCACCCTGAAAAAAGAAAGGTTATTTTAATTTTTTAAAGAACTCTAGTTAATGGCCAGTTGGATGGCTTACTGGAATTTGACTCCCAGATCCCAAATGGTAGAACTCCTCAAAGCTGTCCTCTGACTTTCACATACATATCTATTGCCACAAATAAAATGTAAGTAAATAGGCCAATAAAACAACTAGGCATGGGGGCTGAAGAGATGGCTTAATGGTTAAGCGCACTGACTGCTCTTCCAAAGGACCCAGGTTCAATCCCCACCACCTACATGGCAGCTCACAAAAGTATATAATGCCAGTTCCAGATGTCCGACACCCTTAGAGGCAAAATATCAATGCACATAAAAATAAACAAATCATATATATATATAAAAAAAAAGCATGACTGGGCAGTGTTGGCACATGTCTTTGCTCCCAGCACTTGGGAGACAGAGGTAGAGGCAGGGGGAGTTCGAGGTCAGCCTGGTCTACAGAGCTAGTTCCAGGACAGGCTCCAAAACCCTGTCTGGGGGAGAAAAAAAAGGGGTGTATATTTCAGGGAAATGGGACAATGCACTTACTTCATACTTCTTTGGATTTAGCTTCTTGTTGGCTGGTGAGAAGTAGATGGTAGGAAAACTAGGAAAAAGAAAAAAAAAAACAAAACAGTTCACCAACTTCAAGTCTGAGTGATCCTACCATACCTGTCCAATAGTGTTCTAAGGACCCCTTTTCTTTGTGGTTTCTAATCTGATCTAATGTTGCTTTCCATGAGTGCCTAAATTATACTCTATCGCTCTCAAAATTCTGAGGGAGTCGCGTTGGGGTCACCAATGGCAGAAACCTAAGAAATTCACCTCCCCCAAATATAGCCAGCAAGGGAATGGTTTATGGTGGCTTCTCAAGTGGCTGAAGCTGGGTTAATCTGAATTCAGGAGTTTGAGGCCAGCCTAGGCAACCAAGTAAATTCCATCTCTAAATACAAACACCTTTTCATCAACATACCCTTTGACTTCATATGGAGAAGGCACATCGTTGGCTGTGGCATCCATCTTGGCTATAACAATATTTGGGTCTTTGCTGAGCTGTTAATACAAATGAAAAGAAGAAACGTCAACAACAAAGAACTTAATCTGTACTGAAAAAGCTAAGGCACAGGTATTACCACAAATCCCAGACAGGTCTGCGCTAAAGTGTGAATCTGGCCTCAAATACACACGCACATTCCTGCACACTCCTTCTACACCTGGACACAGAAACAGCACCATCACAAGTTCCAGGCTAGCCAAAGTTGTAGTCACAACATCATTCAAAATACTTGATACCAAACCAGGCCTAGAGGCCCATGCCTTTCATCCTAGCATTTGGGGGCCAAAAGCAGATGGACCTCAGAGTTTGAAGCAAGCCTGGTAGAGCTTTCAGTATCAGGTACTTACTGATTTATGACTTAGAGAATTGTGAGAAGAACACAGACTTACTTCCTAACCTCCTAGCTTCTCTCTTATGAGCTGGTTCTTACAGAAGACTATATGTAAGGCCAGGACTAGTCCTTCCATGTACAAGGCTGAGCACATGCTCAGGCTGCTCCTGGACTATACAATTAGACCCTGTCTCAAAACAAAACACTAAGACTACACATAGCCACCTTTGAATTCCATCTATCTATCTATCTATCTATCTATCTTTTTGGTGTGGAGTTTATTGAGAGAAGAGTAAAGGGGAAGGAAGAGAGAAAGAGAGAAAGAGGCAGAGAGACTTGCTTGCCTCCTTCAAAAGAACAGTGTGAAAAGCAGCCACCTTTAAATTTACCTGGCTTGGATTACATTACAAAAAAAACCATCAAGTTTTTTGTTTTTTTTTTAAATGAAGGACTATACAAATTCAGAAGCATCACCAAAATCCAGATGATCCCAGACATTTGTAACCATGCTGTAGAATGAGCCTGATTTGTGTTAAGCTGGCTGTTAACTTCTTTATAGGCTAGGGGGCAGTCAAGAGCAAACGTGTAAACAATGGCTGGGAAAGAATATACCAGTACTTAGGAACTAGTTAAGTCTATGCTTAAAATACATATAAATTCCAGCTCAATCTTGTATTCATAGAGGGTTCAGACTTACTTTCTCTCCTAGTTCTTTATATTTGGGTTCCAGATTCTTACAGTGACCACACCAAGGAGCATAAAATTCAATCAGCACATCCTTATCTTCATTGTTCACTATGTCATCAAAATTTTCTGCTACCACAACCTAGAACACAGAAGATTCTTTAGTCATAAGAAAAGAAAAATAAATCCACAAGCAATTCACCTCAACTTGCATTACAAAATTTATACACCCGTAAACATGTTGTTATGTCCCATTAGCTAATTTATCCTCACATCTAACCCCATCAAACTATGTTTAGGAAGCCACAGGAAATAAAAACAAATGCTACCTAATGGTTTTCTTTCTTTTAAAAAACTTTACTCATGGGGCGGGAGAGATGGCTCAGTGGTTGAGAGCACTGATTGCTCTTCCAGAGGACCTGGATTCAATTCCTAGATCAGAACTATCTGTAGCTACAGTCAGGGATCTGGGATCTGACACCCTTACAGACATACATGCAAACAAAATACCAATGCACATTAAAAAAAAAAAAAAAAAAACCACAAAAAAAAACTTTACTCATTGTGTGTATATATTATAGATACAGACTTTATAGTTTATACTCTTCTCTCCTTCCACTTTCTACTGCTATATGGGATCAAGGAATCAAACTGGTCCCTTGCATTAAGTGCTTTCCACATGAAGTCATCTCTTGGACCTGTAATGGTTCTTAGCTGGAGATGTAGCTCAGTGGTAGAATACTTACTTAATATGAGTTTGAGTCCCAGTATTAAAAACAAACATCAAATCAAAAACAAATTAAAGAAATGTCTGTAAAGTTTTTGGTCAGGTCTATCAGCGTTAAGATTTAGGAAGAGACTACTGAAGACAGGAACACACCTTGACAGGCCCATCGTTGGTCTCTGGGATAGGCTCAGACTTCAGGTATCTCTTTAGGTTTCCATCAAAGTAATCCTGCAGGAACCGCTCAAGAGCCTTGCCATCCCGCCTGCAAATGCAAAGAGAGGTCCTTATGGGAACTCATGATTCTTTTCTCCTGCTTCCACTACCCAAGTGCATGCTGGAATTACAACAGCATACCACCATTACCCAGATTCTACCCACTACTTCTAATGAGGTGGCATTATGTAAGAATTCCAAGCTGCTACCCTTTTGTTAGTCTGCAGAAATTACAATCTTTAATGTACCTATGATGGGAAGCC